TTATGCCATGAATTCCTAGGTAATAGGTTCTAGCTGCTCAGGCTCCTTTCTGTTGCTTCTCACAAAGTGCACTTCTCTGTGGGAAGTAGGCTGGCACTTTGTTTGAACCCAGGTACTTTCCTACTTGGTTTCCTTCTTTTTCTGATCATTCTCCTTCACTCCCTTCAGGAAGCTTTGCTGGTGCTTAGAGTGCTTAATATGCTCAATGCACACATTAATCTCTTGGCAAGGACCTTGCCCTTAACTTGCTTGTTCACAACAATGCCAACAGCATGGTGGGTCACATTGTAGACTCTTCGGTTTTGCCGTGGTAACATTTGTGGGGCATGCCCTTTTGAACTGTGCCCATTCCCTTGATGTCCGCAATATCGCCTTTCTTGTAGATTCACATGTCTGTGACTAAAGGAACAACCTCATGTTTTCTGAAAGGCGCAGCTGGTAAATTTGAACCACAGACTTTGCAGTTGAAACTGACCTTGTGATTGAGTGCTAATCCTATAGTGCCACACCATAAGATGGAAAAATGTCTCTCCAAGATGGAAATTTGTATTTTTCTAATTCTCAGTGTTGAGACACCTTGATGAGGACTAAGGATTATATTAAAATGTGTATTTATCAAAATTTAATCCCAGGACTCAGCATTTAGACAATTATGGTCACTCAGCTTCACCTTGGCATTGTTGTTGCTAAGTACAGTGGAGTTGGTTCCAACTCATAGTGACCCTGCACAGGGTTTCTGAGGCTGTAAATCTTTACGGGAGCAGAAAGCTCCATCTTTCTCCTGCAGAACGGCTGTTACTTTCAAACTGCTGACCTTGAGCCCAATTCATAACCACTATGCTACCAGAGCTCCTTTCACCCTGGCACTAGCACAAAGAAAAGACCAGGCTCTTAAAGGCTCAATATTCATTAGTCAATGTAGAATTCAGTATTGCATGGAAATCATGAATCTCATGTCATACAAAGATGATAATTATTGCAAATGACTAAACATTGGTTATATTCCACCAATGCCTAACATTTAAATTTAAGCTTTCAATGTTTTTTTAACATTTAAATTTTTATTTATTCCTAGCTGAGTCATATACAAATTTACTTCAAAAAAATAAGGCGTCATGTTCAATTATATGTTCAAGTAATAATCTTGTGAAAATTAGGAATTCCATTTTGAATCTTTTTATTTGTTCATATGCCTTTGTGTTGTCCTTCCCTTGATTTAGATTTAAATTTACATTTGTTTATAGATTTTCTCTTTAGTGTTACTCCATTTCAGATGTTTAAGATATATACCCATTGATTTTTAGTCTCCAGGCTTCATGACAAAAATCAAATGTCTTTCAGATTCTACTTCATTTTGATTAGTATTTGAATATATGCTATCCTACATTTTTTTTTTTTTTTTTTTTTTGTCAGCATGGGTTTTTAATTAATGGGCCTATCAATATGTGAGGAGGTTGGTGTGGCACTCCAGGTTAAGGTATGGTCTGCTAACAGAAGAATGAGAGTTCAAACCTATCATGTGCACCATAAAAACCCTATGCAGGGTTGTTATGAGGTATTTCTGATTTATAGAGTCCCTGTGTAGGATTTCTGAGATGTAGCTGGTGGGTTTAAGTTGCCCACCTTGCAGTCTTAAGTGATCAGTGGTCTAGTATAGTATCCTATAATGCCACATTGAGTTATGATTTATTTATTCTGTATATATTAAATCTGTCAATTTTTCAATTCCATTTTATAAGAAATTATTTTCAAGATGTTTCCATGCAAGTATCAATGATTTTCCCTCTGTATACGGAGTAGATAGGGGCGGACAACTTACACGATGTTGTTGTTGATGTTGTCAAGTGTCATTGAGTTGCTTCAGACCCATGATGACCCTGTCTAAGGTTTCCAAGGAGCAGCTGGTGAATTTGAACCACCAACCTTGTGGTTCAAGCTGATTTTGTAGTCCAGCACATTAACCTGCAGCGCCACACTGGAACTTAGACATTGGCTACCTAAAATAAGGAGGTGGTAAAAGCTCAAAGTGACTGGCTTACATGGTTTCAAGAGGGAGTTTAGTTTAAAGTGTGTGGAGGAAGATAGGGTCCCCACTGAATAGTTTTCATCTTGTCTAAATGGGTCTGATAAAAAGAGACAAGGTTCAGATTCTTATGATTCAATAGTGAGTAATTGCTATCATGACTAATTGCGACTGTCACTATTGTAAAGGTAGAAATTTTGTAACAAAAACAGGGGAGTAGTTAATCTTACAATCCAGACACAGAAGACCCTAGGACCAGCAAGAGAGAAGAGTACAAGTGGAATGCAAGAGCTTATCCAGAAAAGCAGCGACAGCAGAGATGGAGGCAGAGATGGGAATATGAAGAGAGAGGGAATAGCTGTAGACTCTTGATTCATGGAAAGAGAGGGACTGAAAGCTGGTGGCCAGGAGGCAAACTTGCAGAATGTGCCCTTTGGTAATTTAAATTGTTATATATGTCTGAGTGTTT